CTTCTCTGACCTCGCATCGTCTTCCTCCCGCGCGTAGTCAACCAAGACTCCGCCGCGCCAAGGAAGTCCGCTCCGCCTACGCCTCCTTTTGCCGTGTCTCCCAAGTAATTTCCTGCCATAAATAGCAGCCGACCTCGCCGCCTCTATTTCATCTTCGAGCTAGCAGCAGCCCTCGCTGAGTCACCGCAAAACCCTAGCCGCGTCTCGCCGTCCATCGCCGAGCACCACGCGCCGTCTCCATCCGCTCCACGCCACCGTTTTTTGTCGTGGTAAGTTCGCCTTGGCCTCCTCTTGCTCTCTGTATCTTCCCCGAGTTGAACCATGGCTCGTAGGCCGTTTTCCACGTGCACCGCTCGACGCCGGCCATGGCACCACCGCCAAAGCTCGTTGCCGGCAGCCTCTCTCCCTCGTTCTCTCTCTGTTGTAATCTAGACCGTCCGTATCAGATCCAACGGCCAGTATCACACGATACCCCTTCGGCCGGTAGAATTTCAAAAGAGCCCCTACCCTTTTCTAGTTTAGAACCCATCGTCCCTACAATTTTATTAAAGAGCCCCTGTAATTTTCTATGTCTAAACCCGTGGTCCAAAGTGTATTTTCAAAATATGTTTGCCTATTTTGAAAGCGTACATTCCCTCTGTTAGGTCCAAAATACGTTTTTATCTATTTATAGTTTTGCCACTATTTTCTTTAGGCTATAACTTCTACGTTTTAACTCTGATTTGATCGGTTCAAGTTACGTTAGATTCGTAATTGCGTAATCACGTGTTCATACTACTGTTAAGTATGTTTCAACTTTTAAAATTTAAGGTTAGATTTAATCTATTATTTTATTAAAGAAAATCTTGCTTAATTCATAACTTCATTATAGCTCTGATTAGAGTGTTTTTCGTGTCTTTGTGTTCATAATAACGTGTAGAACATCTTTAAAAGCTTTTCACTTATTGTTTTATATGTTTGGTGTACTGTTCTGATTTAGTTCTATTGTTTGCTTCGTGTATAATTGCATGGATGCTTGTATGGTGCTTTATGATCATGTCCAGTCGGTAAGCTATACGTGGTGAATCGAGAAGCAATTCATTGAAGGTTTGGACTAGAAGATGATCAAAGTTTAAGGCAAGTATAGCATGGAATTATCCTTGTTGTTCTATTCATGTTAATATCATTTTAATCATATGCATGTATCTACCTTGGCAACCGTAGTAAATTTTTCTAGCTACTTGATATCTTGGAGTTCTTGTCACCTATGGGGTATTGCATTGGGTAGTATGATGCTAGTGCTCAAACTAAAGACATGATCTTGTAACTTGACTAATGAATTATGCAATAAACACTAAAAGATGCTTTTTAGCAACATGGAATAAGGGGGCTAGAGCATTGGGCTGTTTTTATGGTGCTCTAAATTCCTCTCCCTAAGGACTTATGTGTAAGCGAACATCCGGGACTTACAGTATAACTGTGAGGGATACATGGCTCTGGCTTTAGCTTAGTATGAGGACCTTTTCTAGTTGTTAGAGGTTACCTTTATTGGCGTAAAAATGGCTTGCCGAATCGGGTATAGTGTGGCCTCTGTCCCCTTGTGTATAGGCTGCACGTCATTGTGCCATCGGAAAGGGGCTCTACATCTGTTTACCGAGTGAATCTAATGTCCCTAACTTGTTAGACGAACCTTTGAAAGGCTTCATAGTGAACCCTGCCGACCTTCCTTGGAAGTGGGTCAAGAGATTAGCTATCTTGGGTGAAAGGGTAAATCACGACTCATAGTGAAAGTGTACAACCTCTGCAGAGTGTAAAACTGTTATAACAACCGTGCTCACGGTCACGAGCGGCCTTGGACCCTTATGTAATAGATGATGGACACTGATGGTACTGATGATAAAGATGCTCACTAATGATTACTGTTTATGCTATTTATTATTCATGTTTACCTGATCATGTGTTTATATAGGCTTGTGAATAAACGTGTTGCCACCCAATTATTAAAAGATGACTCATTAAAAGCTAATTGCAGTTAAACCAGTGTTAGCCTTTTGAGCCTTATGAACCCCATATTTTTTTGTTGAGTACGACATGTACTTATGCTTGCTTAATTTTTTTTAATTATTTGGATAAAAATTCCGGACGGGCACCAGATTGCTAAAGTTTGGAGAAATTAGGCATGTGATCAACTATTCAGTTGTCCCTGTGAAATTGGAGTCTTCACCCAAAGATCGAAGTTGTCTTTCCGCTGTTGAAAGGTCACAATGGTTAGAGGGGGGTGAATAGTCTATAAAAATTTTCTACAACAACACTTAACAAATCGGTTAGACAATTATGAGGTGAAGCAAGTGTTATGCTAGCCTACTAAAAATGCAAGCCACCTACCACAATTCTAGTTTCTTTAGTTTCTAAACACACAATGACTATGTCACTACACTAAGTTAGTGTGCTCTCAAAGGCTAACTAAAGAGCCACACTAACCAAACTAACAAGCTCTCACAACTAGCTACACTAAAGAGCTTGACAACTAGTTTACGGTAATGTAAAGAGAGTGAGCAAGATGGTTATACTATCATGTTGAGTAATGAATCAATCAATCACAAGAATGAATACCAATGAATCAATCACCTCGGAATCGAATGATGAACACAATGATTTTTATCGAGGTTCACTTGCTTACCGGCAAGCTACTCCTCGTTGTAGCGATTCACTCACTTGTAGGTTCACGCGCTAATTGGCATTACACGCTAAACCCTTAATAGGGTGCCGCACAACCAACACAAGATGAGGATCACACAAGCCACGAACAATTCACTAGAGTATCTTTTGGCTCTCCGCCGGGGAAATGTCAAGAACCCCTCACAATCACCACGATCGGAGCCGGAGACAATCACCAACCTCCGCTCAACGATCCTCGCTGCTCCAAGCCGTCTAGGTGGCGGCAACCACCAAGAGTAATAAGCGAATCCCGTAGCGAAACACGAACACCAAGTGCCTCTAGATGCAAACCTCAAGCAATGCACTTGAATTCTCTCCCAATCTCACAAAGATGATGAATCAATGATGGAGATGAGTGGGAGAGCTTTGGCTAGGCTCACAAGGTTGCTATGTCAATGCAAATGGCCAAGAGGGTGAGCTTGAGCCGGCCATGGGGCTTAAATAGAAGCCCCCACGAAATAGAGCCGTTGTACGTCTTCACTGGGCACACCACGGGGTGACCAGACACTCCGGTCATATCGACCGAACGCTGGACCTCAGCGTCCGGTCGCGTGATGCACGCCACGTGTTCCCTCTCTTCAAATACTGAGCACCCGATCCCAACGGTTAAGTGATGACCGGACGCGCTGCTGCGAAGTGACAGGACGCTAGCCCTCAGCGTCCGGTAGTTTCCAGTAAGCATCCAGAGACGACTTTACACTCGACCGGACACACCCATCGTCCGGTCACACGGCGACTCCCCTGTGCGCTGCCACGTCAGTAGGACCAAACGCAACCCTCCAGCGTCCGGTCACTAAGTGACCCAGCGTCCGGTCAGAGACCGACGCCAGCGTCTTTGCAGCTTCTACTGACCGGACGCGCCGGTCCTACTGAGACCAGCGTCCGGTCACTTATAGTGACCTCTGTCTTTTCTGCATAGGACGCCGGTGGCACCGTCGGATTGTCCGCACTCTACGGGTGAACACTTCGTTGATAAAGTTTCTAACCCTTGCTCAAATGTGCCAACCACCAAGTGTATCACCATGTGCACATGTGTTAGCATATTTTCACAAATGTTTTCAAGGGTGTTAGCACTCCACTAGATCCTAAATGCATATGCAATGAGTTAGAGCATCTAGTGGCACTTTGATAACCGCATTTCGATACGAGTTTCACCTCTCTTAATAGTACGGCTATCGATCCTAAATGTGATCACACTCACTAAGTGTCTCGATCACCAAAATAAAATGGCTCCTACCATTTATACCTTTGCCTTGAGCCTTTTATTTTTCTCTTTCTTCTTTTCAAGTCCAAACACTTGATCATCACCATGGCATCACCATCATCATATCATAATCTTCATTTGCTTCACCACTTGAAATGTGCTACCTATCTCATGATCATTTGATAAACTAGGTTAGCACTTAGGGTTTCATCAATTCACCAAAACCAAACTAGAGCTTTCAGCTGTTTGCTGTCTAAGGTTATATCCTTTATACTAAGTACGTTATATTTTGAGCATTGTCTTTCGATATTACCCTTATTTGTAGCTATATGTAAGATTTGACTTTCTGGGCTCACATATGTTGTGTATCTGGTTTTATTCTTAAAACCGGGTGCTACACTGACTCGGCTTCCACGACTAGCGAGGAGGATGGGGGCGTAGGCGCAGGTGCATGCGTAGTGTAGGCCTCCCATGACTCGGCTTCCACGACGGGCGAGGTGGATGGGGGCGTGGTGCGGGATGGTGGCGCGGCCGGGGCACGGGGCAGCGCGGTGAAGGGACTCAGGTGTGGCGCCGCCGTGCTGGAGAAGGCCATGGCGGGCGGGTGCGTTGCCCGCGGCAAGCGGCCCCTGCGATGGAGAAAGCGAGGCGTTGTTTTTTTAGAAGCCGTGAAGCACTGAAGCAGCGGAGCGAAGTGGGGCAAGCGGCGTCGGGGCGGACGGACGTCTGTGCGAAAGCATTATCGGACCGAGGGAGGATGAAAAACAGAGAAACATCCAAAAGGAAAGAAAAAACACATTTTGCATTGTAAAGTGTTCCCACCATCTCTCTATTTTTTTATAACAGAGGGTCATTAGATTTCCATGCCCTCTGGTCGGGGATTGAAATTGCATCGCAGCCATCTTGGTTAGATAAAAGCAAAGTGAGAATGATAAATTTTGAAGCTCCCGAAAGCAGCAAACGTGCAAAATGACAGGTTTGCATATACGGGACGGCCGGGCTCACAACAGGCAGAGCTGAACCAGATAGCAGAGAGACATTAATGGGATCTGATGGTGAATAATTTGAGTTCGACACGACGGCTGAATAATTTGAGTATTCAAAGTGGCATCACCATATGCCCAGGAGACGACGATCCTGCAGGAAACGTGAACACAGACGCGACCCTGCGACGAGGCACGTCGAGGCTGACCTCGTAGCACCCCGTGGCTGCCCACTCCTTCTCCTTGCGCTTGAACTCCAAGTCATGTACGCAGACGTGCGCCACGCCAGGTCGCGCCCTGCTAACGACGGGCCAGCGCACGACCCGCCGCAGCAGCCTGCGCTTGTTGCCGCCGCCGCCGCCGCCCACCGGGATAGCGTCGTCCAGGAGGTCGGCGACGCACAGGGAGGAGCACGACGCGTCCTCGTCCTTCTCCCACCTCCAGCTATCTGCTGTCATCGGGAACTTGAGAGTCCATGTCGTGAGCGCCACCGTGACCTCCTCGCCGCCGTCGTCCATGCACAAGAGTTTGATGGTCTCGGAGTCCACGCAGCACACGGAACGGTACTCCGTCGCGCCAAAAGATGCAGGAGCACATGCACATCCCTCGGGCAACGGGATGAATCTAAACACCAAGCCGTCGGCGGCGGCGGCGGCGGCGTCCGTGCTGCTGCTGCTGATGTTGTTGCAGACCAAGATCCCTGCCCACAGGTCTACCCAGCAAAGGGAGGTGCTTGAGATGGCGAACACCATCCCAGCATTCAAATTGAAGCAGTACTCGTCTTCATCAGGATCAGGGAGCGGGAGCACCACCTCCTTCCGTATCCACTGGTCGGCACCGGCACGCGGGCCGCCGCCGGAGCCGGAGCCGGGAGAGCACCACATGAACAGGGTGGCCTTGTTTGTTGGGAGTCGTCCCGATCAGTATGACGGTATAGCTCGGCGAGAAGGTAGCGGTCGTCGGCGTCGTCGTGCACGTCAGTGCGTCGGACGGCGACCCCGGCCGACCCGATGGGGTAGCAGTGCGAGCTGTCGACCCTGACGGCGGCGGGCAGCGGCGGGACGACGGCGACCGACTTGGCGCGGGTGTTGAGCACCAGGTAACACCCTGGCAGGTGGCGCCAGTCATCGCGGTAGCAGCTGCCCAGGCAGAGCGCGAGGAGGTTCTCGTGAGAGTCGCTATGAAGCCGGTGGCGGCGCAATGCCCGGGTGGCCAAGAGGCCCGAAGCGTCAGGGAGTTCACGGCGGGGGCGGCGGCGAGCTGCTGAGGAAGGACAGGGTCGACGCCGTCCAGCAGCCTGCGGTAGCAGCCGACGTTCTCGAAGCCTGCGAGTGCGAAGGTCACCGGCTCCTTGCGCCACCCGCTGGTGGTGGTGCGGGAGGCCTTGCGCTCGCGCAGGATCTGGTAACGCGTCTGGCCTCCTGTCTCTTGGATGATCTCTTCTTCTTCGATGAAATTCATGCAGCGGTCGAACAAGACGTCCATGGCTGCTGCGGCCGGAGTTGCGCGCGAGATCGATCTGAACTCTGAACCAGACAGCGGCAACTCGATCGATGCTCTCCACCTAGATTTATAATCGTAATATATGGAGTAGTTTGCTATTTTGGAATCCTGATCAGTTTCGGTGTATTTACACGCCGACCTAGACAGGTAGCGATGATGGATTGGAAACCTCACGGGCAAACCCATGACCGAGTCTGTTACCATATCCAACGATGCTGGCCCTCCAACTTTGGACTTGTTCCCGGATCTGTGCAGCCTCTGCAGACTCTGACCCAACCGTGGCGCGCCTGAAATCATAACCACAGCCACAGGTACATCTGCCCTGCCCAGCTGGTATTGGCGTGGGCGGGTATAAATCCATGCTTGTCCTTGTCCACGCCTAAATTCATATTATCACTAGAATACAATGCCGTTGCACGGGAACATAATCCATCTGTAATTCTAGACCTAAATCCATCAGCCTTCAGACATGTTGCAAGGCTGGCGTTTTGGTTATTACTAGTAAATGTGTCCGTGTGTTGCAACGGGAGTCAATATGTATAGGAATAGGACTCCCAGTCATCGTTAGGTGCGAGTTGTTCTAACTCGTATCAAGTTAGCTATTTATCGACGTATCGAGAATTAGTCTTTCTTTATACGTGGTGACTATTTTGGATGTTGCACTGCGTAGATTTAAATTTATTTAGTCTGGATTGGACAGCAAATATCGTAAGGCCTTAACTCGGAATTTTTTTGCTCTTAATTAACAGGCGTGGAACTGGCCACAAAAGCTAAACCATGAGCTGATGCATGCGATGACAAAGATCAATTCCCATGATAAAAAAAATAGCTTTGTCTAATTTATATTTGCTTACTTTCTACTTGTATATTTCCTTTTCTATTTTTATTTCGAGTAGGAGTAGGATTCCTATTCTATTCTAGGCAAGAAGCTGAGTCTATTTTATTAGAATTCCTATTTTAGTTATCTTAAGAAACCACATATATTCATGTAATAAAATATAGTAGGGGTGTAGATGTATCTGGGATGTTTTTCGTATTCACAAAGTTAATAAAGGAAGGGCGCTAGGCGCGGCGCTCCTGTGCACGCAGAGGCGGCGCAGGAGTCTGCGCAACGCGCGCCTGGCTTGGCTCAGGACTTGGAGGTCACCGGAGCTGCACAGCGTATTCGCCTCCTCCGCCTCAGCCTCCGTTTGAGCCAACCACGTTTTCGACTTCGACAGCCACGGCACTGAGCTTTGGTTGTTTTAGTTGCGAGAGTCTAGAGATCGTCACTGGATAGCCTGTTGCTTGTTGGTTTTAGTTAGGGCTTATCAGCCAGTCAATAATAATTTTCTCTCACGGTAAACCAATATCAACCGGCCTTATTAGTTTAGAGACCCACCAGCGAAAAGGGTCTACGCCGGCCTCCGTCCGTGCCACCAACCGCATCTTTGGTCTGGACGGCCTCAGCGCCTAGCTACGGCCAACGAGAGAAACGAAAGGAAGGCTGATTTGTACGTGACGATTATTGATCTGTTTTAATTTTCTATATATATGTAACCTGTCGGCGCTGCTGTACCGAGGGACAGGGCGACTCCATGAAGCGGGGGCGAGGCGAAGCCTTGCGCAGACGATAGCCTTAGATATTTTTTAAGGTGTTATAGATTATTCATTTCTCACCTTCTATAATCTTATTAATACTGAATAATGATCAATTTTATCTACACTTATTGTTTTGACTTGAACTACTAGCTTGTAGATTCTGCTGCTAGTTTGTAGTGTTATTTATAAATGTGCGCTCAATGTAAAAGCTACAAACCCTGGAACCAAAACATCGCTTTCTTCAATCTAAAAATTTTAGCAAAACTAATCAATTTTAAAAAAAAAAAAGATTACTCCCTCCATCCCTTTTTAACTGTTTTTCTCACTTCCAAAAAATTCAAATATTCTCAACTTTAACCAAATATATAAAATAATATATTAATATTTATGATATATAATTAATATTATTATATAGGTCGTTGAATCTATTTTCATATTCAACTTATTTGGAGATACAAATGTTACTTATATTTTTTTACATATATAGTCAAACTTAAGAAAGTTTAAATAGTACAAATACCACAGTGACACTTAAAAAGGAACGGTGGGAGTACTTGGTATAGCAACAAGCTACTTTGTACATACCCTTTGTCCATATCTAAATATGGGCCCTACATTATCGAACTCTAAAATTTTAAACCTTGCAATTTACACCCTAAAATTTTCATAAAATTAACTAAAATTATTGGAGATAACTCGCTGTAATGGGTGGCCATTTCCTGAAGATTGGTGTGACTGGATGTATATGTGAACCCCACATCAAAAGCTGGACCCTAGAATTTAAAATCCTGTATCTACACCTTAAATTGTAGCATAGTTAACTAAAATTTACTGCATATGACTGAATATAGTAGTCGATGCTTTGGGCAAATTACTGCAGTAAGATCAACATGTGGCCCCCACAGTGGAATCCCAAAGCTAAAACAAACTTTGCATTATCTGATCCACTCTCTACTCTACCCATCTCTACTAATAGATGATGAATTGAGCTAAGACTTACCCATAGATAATCCGCTCCTCATACCTAACTCTACCCATTTCTATTGGATAAAAAATTTGCCAATGCCCTACCCAAATAAATTGGGTAAGGATTTGATCATGGACAATGGGTACCCACACCAACGGGTATAACCACAGGGATCGCACAAGTGATTTGTCAACACTCCAAAGCATGTTATTAGTTAGCAGCAGGTGTGGCACAAAGTGTGTTTAGGACGCGTCCGCACTGGCGTTGCTAGAGCATGGATCCTCTTGGTTTTTTGGTACCACCTCAGCCCCAAACCTTGCTTACCGTCTTTCTCTTGCTGTGGCACATTGGGGGGTCTCGTGGAAGATGGACTGATTTGGAGTCTAGAATCATATCCTAGTTTGGAAGATACATGGCCTCATGGATCTCTTGTTTATCCTTGTATTTGTAATTTATTTGGATTTTTTGTTATGAAAAACCATATGTTCCCGAGTTCTATGTAATGTTCCTACGAATTTCGAGAGCGTTGCTTGTTCAATTAATATCAGACTTGATGCCATGGATTTTCTTTTGCCCCTAAACTGCAGTCGCCGCGGGCGGAATCTTCTCGATGAGAGACGAAGACGAGGAGCGAAGAGAGCACTGTCCGAAGCGAAAGACAGGCCGTGTGAGTCCCAATGTTTGAACAGTCACCTCTCCCCTCTCTATGACTAGTGGGCCAGGCTTTGCGGTTGGGTGGAAAATGCCAGAACCACGCAGGGCCTTGGGATGAATCCACGGCGGAGGAGTGTGCATGTAGGTTGACAAATGTATGCACGCTCGAAACAAAATCTTTAGAGCATCTCCGATAGTCTTTTTAAAATTCACTTTCTAAATCATTATTTAGAGAGCAATTTGCATAAAAATCGCTTTCTATATCTTTTCACTCTCCAACATTTTTTCTATATCTTGCTGTAGCACGGGTCTCGTGGAAGATGTCATTCTCGTCTAGAATCATATCCTATTTGGAAGATACATGGCCTCATGGATCTCTTGTATATAATGGCTATATTTGGAAGATCATTTAGATAACCATATGTCCCGCTATGAGGTGAATTTTTTCAATTAAACTTGATTCCTACCATTAAGGATGGATATGGAGAATCTCTCGCGGATGTTCTTACTTCTCGATGAGAGACGAAGACGAGGGTCTATTGAAGCGAGACAGGCCGTGTTCCAACTTATTCCCCTCTCTATGACTAGTGGGCCAGGCTTTTAAAGGTTGGGTGGAGATTTTTTTCCCAATCTGGTGGGTCGATGAATCCAACGATATATTGATTAAATAAGTACATATTTAATGAGTATTTGAGTGTAAGAAAATTCACTTTCTAAAATTAGCTCGTTCCATTTGGCTGATATGCGCTGATCGAGCACTGTCCAACATTTTTTAGGATAAGACCAGCAGAAATCAGGCTGATATGGGCAGATTTGAGCACTGTAGCAGTTGAGCAGACCAGCCGAAATCAGGCAAATATGGAGTGGAGTAGCCTTGAACGAGCTTATTTATTTTTTCCAACTTATTCCAGTTTTAACAGTTTTAAGAGAGATTTTTTTCCAATCTGTCGTGAGTCGGTCTAAGATATATTGATTAAATAAGTATATATTTAATGAGTATTTGAGTGTAAGAAACAGAAAATATTTCATCGGGTATTTGTGCATGCTATGTACATGAGAGATGGTTGATGCATGGTTGAGTGCATGCATCTCACAAAAAAAAACTATCTGCACGAGGTAGAGGCCGGCCGGGTAGACAAATTATTAATCGGAGATCACATGGTTAGCGAACATGAACGTGCATGTGACCTCTAACGAACACCTTAACTGCCTGTACCGGCCAAATTAACTGAATTTGCTCCTCGATCGGGGAACGAGCTTGTTGGTCAACCATGCATCACAAGGGCCGAAGATCGTACTAGCTGGTTACTAACTAAATATGTTTTTTCTTTGTTATTAATTTCTGAATCACTATTCATATAATAAATTAACTAATCGTCAACATGCAGATGTTTAATTTCTGCAGGCTCCGGAACATGATGATGATCATGATCCACAGTTTTGGCATGTGCGTGCACGAGGTACGCATGCATGGCCCGTACGTATCCATCCCAAGTCACCATTGCGTACACTGCTATGTGATAATTGTTCGAATAATGTGCCCGTCTTCTGCCGTGCCCGTCGATCATCGTGTCGATTTTTTCCGCAAACTAAAACCAGGTGACTGCAACTGAAAACTGGTACTGGTAGTGGTAGGCCTTGGCGCCGGCCGGCAGCTGACCGCTCGCAGCTGCAGACACATGCATCGATCGAACGAGCAAAAAAACGCCCGGCGCAAATGGAGCACACGTTGTATATATACCACCATGTTCGTTTTGTTGAAAAATCAGACTGAAAAATATTATTATCTAATTTATTGTAAGAGAAAAATATTATACCATGGCTTGATAGTGTGTATATATACACACACTTACTGCATAGCATATATAGGTAGTAAGGAGTACAAGCTGAACTTTTAGGGTCCACAATCGACATTGGTGCATGGCCCAAGAGGAGGCGGCGGTGGCACCGGCAACCATGGTTCATGTGCCGAGCAAGGACGACGCCAGCCGCAGAAGTAGCCAGCAGCAGCAGCCGCCGCCGCCACAGCAGTACTGGGTGAACGGCGCGCTCATCATCGGCGCCGGGCCCGCGGGGCTGGCGGTGGCGGTGTGCCTCCGCGAGCAGGGCGTGCCGTCGGTGGTGCTGGAGCGCGCCGGCTGCATCGCGCCGCTGTGGCAGCACCGCACGTACACGCGCCTCAAGCTGCACCTCCCCAAGCGCTTCTGCGAGCTGCCCCTGGCGCCCTTCCCGCCGCACTTCCCGGAGTACCCTTCCAGGTGCCAGTTCCTGTCCTACCTCCACGCGTACGCGCGCCGCTTCGCCGTGGCGCCGCACTTCCGCGCCACCGTCGCCTCCGCGCGCCGCGACCGCGGGGTCTGGCGCGTCGACGCCCACGTCGCCGGCCGCGGCCACGTCCAGTACGTCTGCCAGTGGCTCGTCGTCGCCACGGGCGAGAACGCCGAGCCATTCGTCCCCGACATCGAGGGCCTCCGGCGCTGCATCAGCACCGGCAGGGCCCCCGTGGTGCACGCCGCCGAGTACCGGTCCGGCGAGCCCCTGAGGGGCAAGCGCGTGCTCGTCGTCGGCTGCGGCAACTCCGGCATGGAGGTGTGCCTGGACCTCTGCCACCACGGCGCCTCGCCGAGCATGGTGGTGAGGGGCGCGGTGCACGTGCTCCCGCGGGAGGTGCTGGGCCGGTCCACGTTCGAGGTGTTCGTCGCCATGGCGCGCTGGCTCCCGCTCTGGCTGGTGGACAGGGTCCTGCTGGCCGTGGCGGCGCTCGCGCTGGGCGACGTCGAGCGCTACGGCCTGCGGAGGCCGGCGCTGGGCCCGCTGGAGCTCAAGAAAAGGGAGGGCAGGACGCCCGTGCTGGACATCGGCGCGGTCGACAAGATCAGGACGCCCGTGCTGGACGGCCTCAGCGCCTAGCTATGGCCAACCAGAGAAACGAAAGGAAGGCTGATTTGTACGTGACGATTATTGATCTGTTTTAATTTTCTATATATACGTAACCTGTCGGCGTTGCTGTACGGAGGGACAGGGCAGACTCCATCGCTATGTTCGATTTGGCTTATAAGTCATATTTTTTCAGATAACAAATAATATTTTTCTCTCACAGCAAATCAGCCAACGGTATTTTCAGCCACTGCTTATCAACCAAACGAACATGACACGTGAAGCGGGGGCAAGGCGAAGCCTTGCGCAACGATAGCCTTAGATCCTTAGATATTTTTTAAGGTGTTGTAGATTCTTATTGATACTGAATACTGATCAATTTTATCTACACTTATTGTTTTGACTTGAACTACTAGCACGCAGCTTCTGCTGCTAGTTTGTAGTGTTTATTTATAAATGTGCGCTCAATGTAAAAGCTACAAACCCTGGAACCAAAACATCGCTTTCTTCAATCTAAAAATTTTAGCAAAACTAATCAATTTTTTTTAAAAAAAAAAATTACTCCCTCCGTCCCTTTTTAACTGTCTTTCTCACTTCCAAAAAGTCAAGTATTTTCAACTTTGACCAAATATATAAAAGAATATATTAATATTTATGATATATATTTAGTATTATTATATAGGTCGTTGAATCTATTTTCATATTCAACTTATTTGGAGATACAAATGTTACTCATATTTTTTACATATATAGTCAAACTTAAGAAAGTTTAAACAGTACGAATACCATAGCGACACTTAAAAAGGAACGGCGGGAGTACTTGGTATAGCAACAAGCTACTTTGTACATACCGGTTTGTCCATATCTAAATATGGGCCCTACATTATTGAACTCTAAAATTTTAAACCTCGCAATTCACACCCTAAAATTTTCACAAAATTAACTAAAATTATTAAAGATAACTCGCTGTAATGGGTGGCCATTTCGTGAAGATTGGTGTGACTGGATGTATATGTGAACCCCACATCAAAAGCTGGACCCTAGAATTTAAAATCCTGTATCTACACCTTAAATTGTAGCATAGTTAACTAAAATTTACTGCATATGACTGAATATAGTAGTCGATGCTTTGGGCAAATTACTGCAGTAAGATCAACATGTGGGCCCCACAGTGGAATCCCAAAGATAAAACAAACTTTGCATTATCTGATCCACTCTCTACTCTACCCATTTCTACTAATAGATGATGAATTGAGCTAAGACTTACCCATAGATAATCCGCTCCTCATACCCAACTCTACCCATTTCTATTGGATAAAAAAAATTGCCAATGCCCTACCCAAATAAATTGGGTAAGGATTTGATCATGGACAATGGGTACCCACACCAACGGGTATAACCACAGGGATCGCACAAGTGATTTGTCAACACTTCCAAAGCATGTTATTAGTTAGCAGCAGGTGTGGCACAAAGTGTGTTTAGGACGCGTCCGCACTGGCGTTGCGAGCATGGATCCTCTTGGTTTTTTTGGTACCACCTCAGCCCCAACCCTGCTTACCGTCTTTCTCTTGCTGTAGCACGGGGTCTCGTGGAAGATGGACTGATGGAGTCTAGAATCATATCCTAGTTTGGAAGATACATGGCCTCATGGATCTCTTGTTTATATTGTATTTGTAATTTATTTGGATTTTATGTTATGAAAACCATATGTCCCGCTATGTAATGTGAATTCTTGCTTGTTCAATTAATATCAGACTTGATGCCATGGATTTTCTTTTGCCCCTAAACTGCAGTCGCCGCGGGCGGAATCTTCTCGATGAGAGACGAAGACGAAGAGCGAAGAGAGCACTGTCCGAAGCGAAAGACAGGCCGTGTGAGTCCCAATGTTTGAACAGTTACCTCTCCCCTCTCTATGACTAGTGGGCCAGGCTTTGCGGTTGGGTGGAAAATGCCAGAACCACGCAGGGCCTTGGGATGAATCCACGGCGGAGGAGTGTGAATGTAGGTTGACAAATGTATGCACGCTCGAAACAAAATCTTTAGAGCATCTCCAATAGTCTTTTTAAAATTCATTTTCTAAATCATTATTTAAAGAGCCATTTACATAAAAATCACTTTCTATATCTTTTCACTCTCCAACATTTTTTCTATATCCCATATGCACTCTAGAGAGTCATTCTCGTCTTCTATATTCGGCTAGCGAAAAATCCGGATATATAATGGCTATATTTGGAAGATCATTTAGATAAGCTGTTGGAGGGTAGTTTTTCACCAAAATCTTCATTCCTACCATTAAGGAAGGATATGGAGAATCTCTCGAAGATGTTCTTACCTCGAGAACGGGGGTCTATTGGAGCAGTTTTTTCCAACTTATTCCATATGACAGTTTTAAGAGAGAGAGATTTTTTCCCAATCTGGTGGAGTCGATCTAAGATATATTGATTAAATAAGTACATATTTAATGAGTATTTGAGTGTAAGAAACAGAAAATTAGCTCGTTCGGCTGGCTGATATGCGCTGATCGAGCACTGTAGCAGTAGGAGCAGACCAGCAGAAATCAGGCTGATATGGGCTGATTCGAGCACTGTAGCAGTAGAGCAGACCAGCCGAAATCAGGCAAAAGTGGAGTAGATGAACGAGCTAATTTATTTATTCCCTGTATGACAGTTTTAAGAGAGATTTTTTTCCCAATCTGTCGGAGTCGGTCTAAGATATATTGATTAAATAAGTATATATTTAATGAGTATTTGAGTGTAAGAAACAGAAAATATTTCATCGGGTATTTGTGCATGCTATGTACATGAGAGATGGTTGATGCATGGTTGAGTGCATGCATCTCACAAAAAAAAACTATCTGCACGAGGTAGAGGCCGGCCGGGTAGACAAATTATTAATCGGAGATCACATGGTTAGCGAACATGAACGTGCATGTGACCTCTAACGAACACCTTAACTGCCTGTACCGGCCAAATTAACTGAATTTGCTCCTCGATCGGGGAACGAGCTTGTTGGTCAACCATGCATCACAAGGGCCGAAGATCGTACTAGCTGGTGACTAACTAAATATGTTTTTTCTTTCTTATTAATTTCCGAATCACTATTCATATAATAAATTAATTAATCGTCAACATGCAGATGTTTAATTTCTGCAGGCTCCGGAACATGATGATGATGATGATCCACAGTTTTGGCATGTGCATGCACGAGGTACGCATGCATGGCCCGTACGTATCCATCCCAAGTCACCATTGCGTATACTGCTATGTGATAATTGTTCGAATAATGTGCCCGTCTTCTGCCGTGCGCCGTCGATCATTGTGTCGATGTTTTCCGCAAACTAAAACCAGGTGACTGCAACTGAAAACTGGTACTGGTAGTGGTAGGCCTTGGCGCCGGCCGGCAGCTGACCGCTCGCAGCTGCAGACACATGCATCGATCGAACGAGCAAAAAAACGCCCGGCGCACATGGAGCACACGTCGTATATATACCACCATGTTCATCTCGCTTAAAAGGCTAAAAAATATTATTCTCTGATTTATTGTAAGAGATAAACGATGTACCATGAACGATATAAGTTTAAGCGGTAGTAGTGTGTATATATATACACACGTACTGCATAGCATATATAGGTAGTAAGGAGTACAAGCTGAACTTTCAGGGTCCACAATCGACATTGGTGCATGGCCCAAGAGGAGGCGGCGGTGGCACCGGCAACCATGGTTCATGTGCCGAGCAAGGACGACGCCAGCCGCAGAAGTAACCAGCAGCAGCAGCAGCCGCCGCAGCAGTACTGGGTGAACGGCGCGCTCATCATCGGCGCCGGGCCCGCGGGGCTGGCGGTGGCGGTGTGCCTCCGCGAGCAGGGCGTGCCGTCGGTGGTGCTGGAGCGCGCCGGCTGCATCGCGCCGCTGTGGCAGCACCGCACGTACGCGCGCCTCAAGCTGCACCTCCCCAAGCGCTTCTGCGAGCTGCCCCTGGCGCCCTTCCCGCCGCACTTCCCGGAGTACCCTTCCAGGTGCCAGTTCCTGTCCTACCTCCACGCGTACGCTCGCCGCTTCGCCGTGGCGCCGCACTTCCGCGCCACCGTCGCCTCCGCGCGCCGCGACCGCGGGGTCTGGCGCGTTGACGCCCACGTCGCCGGCCGCGGCCACATCCAGTACGTCTGCCAGTGGCTCGTCGTCGCCACGGGCGAGAACGCCGAGCCATTCGTCCCCGACATCGAGGGCCTCCGGCGCTGCATCAGCACCGGTAGGGCCCCCGTGGCGCACGCCGCCGAGTACCGGTCCGGCGAGCCCCTGAGGGGCAAGCGCGTGCTCGTCGTCGGCTGCGGCAACTCCGGCATGGAGGTGTGCCTGGACCTCTGCCACCACGGCGCCTCGCCGAGCATGGTGGTGAGGGGCGCGGTGCACGTGCTCCCGCGGGAGGTGCTGGGCCGGTCCACGTTCGCGGTGTCCGCCGCCATGGCGCGCTGGCTCCCGCTCTGGCTGGTGGACAGGGTCCTGCTGGCCGTGGCGGCGCTCGCGCTGGGCGACGTCGAGCGCTACGGCCTGCGGAGGCCGGCGCTGGGCCCACTGGAGCTCAAGAAAAAGGAGGGCAGGACGCCCGTGCTGGACATCGGCGCGGTCGACAAGATCAGGTCTGGCCAGATCAAGGTGGTGCCCGAAGTGAGGAGGTTCCTGCCCGGCGGTGCGGCGGTGGGGGTGGCAGCAGAACTCGTGGACGGCTCCGTCGTCGAGGTGGACGCCGTGGTGCTGGCCACCGGCTATCGCAGTAACGTGGCCTCGTGGCTCAAGGTACGTTTTTTTTTTCATTTTATATAGAGCAAAGTCTGATTTGTCCCGCCCGCTAGCTAACTTATCGTTTAATTTAAAAAAAAACATTCTTGAACTCGAATATCAAATAACTTAACTTTTGAAATCGAACCCCAAAAACTAGGGAGATACAAAACGTATTTTGGGGTTTTAAAGGTCTTTCTCTCCAGCAGAATGAGAAAATCCAATCTACAATGAGAAAAATAGTGAATTGGGAGGAGATGTCTCCCCTTTATTTGAGGGGTGGGAGGTTATGATTTGAGGAACCGAGAAAAAAAATTTCTCATTGGGTTTAGGTTTGGGGAACTGCTGGAGCTACAAGATCTCCAAAATAATAGTTTTTTCTCATTAGGGATTAGGAAAGGGGGGACTAGTGGAGATGCTCTTGCCTATTCCTAAAATAGTCTAGAGTGGTTTCGATGATGATTTTCTCTATTGTGGTATGTGGGCCCCACATGTCTTTAGTTTTTTTATTAGTCATGCCATCTTTTCTTGAATATTTGAGTTTTTAAATGATCTTATATAAAAAAAAGTCAAATTGAAAGTTTAGATCTCTTCTAGCACTATAAATTTGGTATAGAGTGTATCTCCATCTAAAGTTGTTTGAAAAAATTCAAAACTTAAATTTAATACCCAGAAATAAAAATTGGGGCCTATAAATGATCTCAATTAAAAGGCTTTTCAACCACAAAGCTATACATCGAATTAAGATCTGTAACTTTGGTACAGACCATGTCAATGTCCAAGGTCATTTGAAAAATAAAAAATATGAATTTTAAAATGTGAGAAATTAAAACAAATATTTAGGACTCTAAACAATCTCATATAAAAATGTGTCAACAACAAAGTTGTAGATTGCATTTAGAGCTATAGTTTTAGTACGTGCCACGTCAACATCCAAGGTCATTTGAAAACTTTAAAACCTAAATTTTCAAAATCTGAGAACTTAAAAATAAATATTTGGACCTCTAAATGGTGTCAGATAAAAAAAGTTCAACAAGTGCATCGAGGGCTATAACTTTGGTATAGATTATGTTAGCATCCTAGGCTATTTGAAAAATTCAAAAAAAAATTTTAAAATCTGATAAAAACGAATAATTTGAGCCTCTTAAATATCTAAAATATAAAAAATCGATTACAAAGTTGTAGATCGCATTGAACTCTACATTTAATTTTGATAAAAAATTGTATTCATCTGACTTAATATGAAAATAATTATGATTTTGTGATATAAAAGAAAGACAAAGGCTACCTGACATATGGGACCCACGGATATGTCAGCAAAACACAACGAAACCATTTTGAAATGGCTAAGAGATAGTTTATCCGGTTATGAAAGTTGAGGTGACTTAACTGGCATTTGCATTTGAGTTTGAGAGCGCCTTTTAAGTAAGTAGAATACTACTCTTTTATGTAAGATAAAAAAAATACTCGTTATAGGGTCGTGATGGGTTGACTTTTCCGATGGTTGGGAAGTAAACTTGACAAAAGCAGTAATGCAAATGCAGGGTCAGGTGAACGCTGCTGAAGAGGAATGCCGCGGGCTGTACACCGTGGGCTTCACCGGGAGAGGGCTCGCCGGGATAGCGGAGGAGGCGATAAGAATAGCCGGCGTGCTGGGCAAGGCGTGGAGGCGGCAGATGGAAATAAACTAGAGCAAGCAGCGCAACATCCGCATCACCGCTGCCTGTGACTGTGATGGATGATGATGCATGTGTACCGGACTAGGAGTAGTTAGCAATCTGGAGTGACAGTGGCTTAAACGCTACTAGCCCACTACTGTCCATGTACCCTACAAAGGGAAAACATACGTGCAGGCTCTGCGCTTAGCAAAAGTAAACCGAGCGTTCTTCAGTTAACCTCATCTATCTATCTATCTATTATGTCAATATAGTAGTGTTAAAAGAAACCCACGTTCACTAGAAGGATGTAAAAATTGCGAGGTTAATAAAAAAAAAGTGTATTATACATTATAGAACAATGTTAAAAGAAGCCTCACGTCTATTGTCTGTCTATTGGGAGGGTCCAAAATATGGGAGGCTCTAAAAATTATGAAATTAATCCAAAAATAAATAAAAATACACCGTTGTATTTACAATGATCTAATAGTCCAAATTTAAAAGTGTCACATATAATCTATATGTAAATACTGTTTTTCACCTATAATATTATAAGTTAAACAATGTTTTGTTAGTATTTAAAAAAAGGACCAGTACATGTGTTCGAATCAATATAAAGGTAATATTACCATAGCCACTATAAAATTGACTCTTTTCCTATTTCAATAAACACATCCTGAAGAAAAAATATAAAAGGCATCGATACCAACAAAGTTCATAGAAAATATACAATCAAAAGCCAACAAACTACATTCGGAAAGATAATTTTGAGATAATTCTATCAATTCATGTAATCCTTACTTTTAAAATTATTTGTTTCAAAATTAATTCTGAATATAAAATTAAATTTACAAAAAATAGTGCTTTGAATTAAATATATGCAATATAATGAATTAAGTTAAAAACCATGTCTCTTCCTCACCACGTTGATGCCAGAAATTATGATGTAACGCTGTCTACGAAAAGATATAGTTAAAAATAAAAATAAAAAATAAGTAGAACAAGTTTCAATTAGACACCAATACCTCGGTGGGCATAAAAAATCATAAAACCACATTTGAACCTCAGGCGACTCCTTCCCCCGACATACTTCACACCTCGGTATTTCAACGTGCTCTTTCACCATAGATCTACCATACCAACTCACTCCTTTTACCCTTACAGATTCTTAGCATCACTGTTGATATCGACGAAAAGAAAATAGATAAACACATGTTGACTCTGACAATTGTGACTTATATTTGATGACTTTCGTAGTAGTGACCTAGCAAAAACAAAAAAAAAACATATTCCAACAATCGATGTTACAAGTTTACAACAAAGTCACAAAAAGCATACTGTCTTACATCTAACTGGTCCATTGATTCCCTAATGTCCATGCGTGAAAGCCTAGCAGGCAACACAGATCATTTTTCTTTACGAGATCACGACATGATCAATATTAAGGTAGACTGACATAGGTAGCATGCTTTAGATTAGTAGCTCATTAGCGTTAATGGTGGTTTTTGTTAAAACGTGAATATAAATGAACAAGATTTGGGAGAACTGTCTCTTTCATTGATCTCTGAAATATATTTATACAAGTGAAGGGGTGTCACGAAGGGACACGACTGTTCCCAAAGAACATGCCCTTTGGAGTAAAACTAACTGTCTAATCCTATCCACTAATCTTGTAATTGATGGACGAGATCACTTCGTAAACAGGTGTCTATTGAGAGACACCGTTTCACAACACTCCCCCTTGATCGAATCTTCCTTGAGATCAATGCAGCTGTAAGCTGAAATTCCTCGAAAAAACCCGATGGGAAAAATCTGAGGAATATATGATATGCCATAAAAACTCCTTTAAACCTTATTGGAAAATAAGGAGAAAATAACATATTTATTTGTGATTTAAATAAACCACTATGTCATTGGTATCCCATTAAAAACCCCAATGGAGAAAAATATTGGAGATACGACATAAAGATAACCCCCCAAAAACATTTTCAGGAAAAATATGAGGAGCAATATAAAGTGATATGTCGCTAAAACTCCTGTAAAAATCCAGTGGCAAAATTAGGAGAAAATATGATGACATATTATTGGTATTGCCTCTTGGATAACTCACATGAAAAACCTTTTCAGGAAAAAACCATAGATGAGTTGTGAGGGCAATATGTGTCTTTGATATTTCCCACAAAAACCCCGGCGGGGAAAATAAGAAATATGACACATGCTTATGTTAATATTACTTCATTAAAAACTTTAACAAGAAACCTTGTAAGTAAAACTTGTGAAAGAAAAGAGTATAATATGATGCTGGTACAGGTCAACATTTAGGAGATATCTCCCCCTGATTCTGGCAAATCTCAAAGTCGCCGCATACCAATTCCATGTACTAATTTTTGAAACACAGAAGTTGGTAAGGACTTAGTAAATAGGTCAGTGAGATTATCACATAACTAGATTTGCAAGATGTTTATTTCCCCGCTTTCTAGTAATTCATGGGGATAAAACAGTTTAGGAATAATATGATTAGTGATATTGCTCTTTATGTAACCTGTTTGCATCTGTGTAACACAAGCGGAATTATCTTCATAGATAATTGTAGGTGATTCAATTGAACCAATACCACATGCCTGTTGTATGTGGTTAATCATTCTGTGAAGTCATACACATTCATGTGATGCCTCAGATAGAGCAATAATTTCAGAATGATTAGTAGAGGTCGCCGTCAGAGTCTGTTTAGAAGACTTCATGAAATAACTGTACCTCTATGTAAGAATACAAATCCAGTTTGAGATGGAGACCAGATAAGTAACCAGCATCCGTGTATCCAATCATATTGGGATCATGATTTCTCTTAAAGAATAAACCAAGATCCTTTGTGCCACTAAGATATCTGAGGATATGCTTCGCTCCCGTCTAATGACGGTGAGTTGGATTGGCACTATGTTTAACTAGTATGTTCACTGCAAATGCGATATCAGGTCTGGTGCAATTTGCAAGATACATAAGTGCTCCAATGACACTAAGATATGGAACCTTGATCCTAATATCTTTTCTCCAATATCCCGTGGTCTAAATGGATCTTTATTTCTATAGAACGAACAACCATCGGGATTTTATTATGATATGATTTGTTTATATTGAATTTCTCCAATATTTTCTGGATATAGGCTGATTGATGCACTAAAATCCCTAAAGGACGGTGCTCAAGTTGTAAGCCTAGGCAACATTTGGTCTTACCCAAATTCTCCATCTCGAATCCACATGATGAAAATTGTATCTTAAATGATTGCATAATTATTTCTATATCATGGTGATATCAAAATAACCAATATGCGCAATCATGCTTAATTATACACAATGTATGTTGCGATTTGTATTTGGATTCAGAATATGAAGTCCATTGGGACTTATACATCCGAATCTATCAAATTCATTTGATCCGCCAATTATTGAATTTGGAAAGCTTTATTTTCACACATACCATGGGGTATGCTATGCTGGGTCTCTGCGTGAAACCATATGCTACAAGCTCTCATTGTTCACCACCTTGCTTCTGAAAAGAAACTCTTTGAGGGAAGATATTACTATGGTAATACTTTTCATCATTGAACAAGAGCAATCTCCTTAATTGCCACCTTTTAGTTTGACCAAATTTGAGTGTGAAGACACTCTATCTAGGATTTTTGGTCTGGATCCAATAAGGTAAAAAGGCAATCTTTGAGGAGTATATGCCGCAACAATTTGTAGTCTTTAAATGATTGATTCAGTTCTTGAAATCAATATATCATGTGAAAATGTTAACCCTTTTGGATTCCAAGTCATTTCCCATATAGAGTCAGGGTGTTCCAATGTCCTAGGATCAGAATTTGGGTGCACCGTTGATCCGGGTGGATTTTGATCTGGGTTTTGGATGCTCATCCATTTTGGGTGTCTACCAACTTGAGGTTGGCTTGAATTTACTGATTTGGAGGATATTATCCTCGGTATCCTCGGACGCTTACTTGGAGCATTATCCTTAGGAGCGGCTGTACTTCCCCTCCTCTTCTTTGGAAGTGGGAGTTGGATAGTTTTAATTTGTACCTCCATTCTTTCGGGCGCATTATAAGTAGGATAAGATGATTTTGTGACACCCTTATTATCAGTAAATGTTTCTGACAGATTCTTTGCAATATGATGCAAATATAAGACATTCTAAACAATTAGGTTTAGAATTTTTGGTACGTGGATATGAAGATTGCTCTTTTGATTCCTGACATTCTTGATGTGGTATAAATCTCTCCCTAATACCTAGAATTATCCTCAAATATGATCAACATACGGGCAATTTATAAATCACTTACAGAGTTACCTCTTGGGATCCCTAATGCCCATTGGTATGTTGGGGTGGTGATATGGGTATGTGAAAACATACTCGATGTGCAGATGGGAAATGTTTGGCTGCGGCCAAAGTTTCACGTACATACTGCAACGGAGGGAGCTGTATAAATGCATCTTAATGAATTTGAATTAACGATGCGGTGTGTAAGGCCGCATGAAAACAACTTAGTTCTGGTAAATTATAATTCTATTTTAATATGTCATGCAATTTGATTCTCAATAAGAGACTCAATAAAACTATTATTGGTATAGACATAAGGTACTTGATATATAGTACTCAAAAACCAAATAGTTCCATATAAAATGGATTTGATCCCGCGTCCAGGATAATTTACTCTAAATTGAAGATTTCGAGCAATGAGTTTGGTATAGTGATGGTTCTCATGACTAAGAGACACACCTGGGACTATATTATGGATGCATAAATGTGCATTACATAGTATCTTTATGGTCCATAAAATGGTAAATAGAGTTACATGTATGTTCTTAAATTTCTTCAAGAAATATAGTGGCTCATATTGATGCTATGACCAATAGAATTGACAATAATTCTCAAGTTATCTCTATAGTTGAATAACCAAGGCAAATGTGCCAAGTCTTGTTGACATCAAGAGAGAGAATTATTTGTACGCAACATTAGATACATGTTATGTATGTGTAGTCAA